ATTATTGCTACATTATCATCTTCAGAATCTTGTAGAAAGCTTGGTATGGCTTAAGATGAGTTGAGAAGATTTAACGATGCATTTTCGGGAAAATTAAAGCACTGCCTGTAGTTCTTAGCGTAGGATCCATCTCTGACACTACAGGTATGCGTAATACGTCATTATTTAAATTTAATGTAATATAACAACTTTTTCCCAATATCAATAAAACAATAAATGTGGCAATAACATATCATGTCAATTATCCTAACCTGAAACAAAAACAGTTGCCAACAGCAGCTTTATATTTAAAATGCTAACATTAAGGAAACATTTTCGACATATGATGATATCACATACAATCGCCTGCTTTCTTCAAAGTTAGAATAGGAAATTTATTTTTATCTCTAGAGAGCTAGACAGTTGCCACTCATAAAATGAGGGCAAAAATTAGCGTTTTCAAAGTTTTTAATTAATATCTCAGCTGATTAAAGTCGTACGAAGATGATAATGGTCGAAATGGCTTCCCACGAGTTTTTGGAATCCGTAGGTACCTCTCTCTATAGATTCTTCCTTCACTTGCATAAGCTTCTCAGAGGAGAGATCATTTCTAATGTGAAATAAATGGCAACTGGGCTATTGCACTGATTCAGTTTTCATTAGCTTCATACCTCATGCTTCATATTTTCACCTTACTCAGATTTCAAAAGCTAAAAGTTTCACTTGAAAACATAATAGAGCTCCTGTCGTCCTAAGTTTCGCTAATAAAAGTTTTGAACCGAAATCCTCGTTCAAGAAGCTGTTTCTGTATATCGTGGAACCTGTTTTTTTTTTTTTTTTTTTTTTTTTTTTTCACTAGCTTAGATATCTGAAATGAATAATCTAGCCGCAGTGTTTTGCTCATTGAAAAAACGAGTTAAAATTATATTCCTGCTCGCAGACGTTATTAGATTCTACCTGCGTCTTAATAAAAATTCGGCAAATCAGCTGAGGAATTTAACTTCCGCATAGTTAACAAGTACTTAAGATCAGAACGATTTTCATTCCGCTTAGTTGGCTTAATTAGTGGAATCCTCCCTGATTTCAATAGCTGGATAACATCTAACTCTTTAACATTTATAAAGAAGGAATAGAACATAGAAAGAAAAATTTTATACTGTATTTTGTGATACTATTTCAGCGTAAAGTTTTCCTGTATAATTTTATTCGCAGTTTTGCCGGGGAAAGATTTATTAAAAGCATGAAGATTGCTCTTTTGCTGGGACAGAGAAAAATCAATTACATTTTACATATTTTTCATTTTTTAATCATTTAGTTATCTATTTTTAGAAATTAAATGTTTTTGCTTATCAAAAAAAACCCACTAGCACTTTTAAAAAAGTAATTCCGTCTTTAATATATTATGCAAATGCTTTATATGTAATCTAAGGAGTACGCAGATTCAGCACACATTCATCCTGCATTGAAAAATGGTACGTATTTGGTCTATCATTTGCTTAAATAGAGTTGTGTTCATGGTAGAGCTGTTATTCTTGAGTGAGATTGTAGTATTTTCAATTGGTTGGTAGCATGTAGTTGCTGTTGGCCAGTACGAAACTACAATATTTCTATGGTGATAAGCTTCTCCTCCATGGGTCTAAGTTCCACTTACGATTTTTGGAAACTTATTTTTTAAATACCTCCTTCATAATCGAGGATCAAAGATGAACTTGCAATGAGTACTATCATTAGCAGTTTCAGTACTTAAGTACACATGAGATATTTGTGAAAACACGAGATTCAATGAAACTGTAATACCAACAACAACAACAAGGCATGAGTTACAATAGAAATATAAAGTAAAAAGGACTGAAAGGAGAAATTTGTACTGAATTCATTACTTTGTGAGCTTATCTTTAGCGGTTATGACGGATTGCCTGCTGCGTGACATTGACTAATAAAATTCTGGGTGGTATTCTCTGCGATGTCGATCAGTGAAGATTCAAACGCATCCACAATTTGTTGAAGGCAGTTGCGGATGCTGACATATGGATAAAAATTTCAGGTGTCATTTTCGACCACGTAAACACACCTTCGAAACATCGGAGGACGGAGCCAGTCAAAGAAGAGTTGGTACATCTTGTCACAGGTACAATAGTGCACATCGCAAACGGCAAGAAAGGTAGCATTGTCCTTTTGAAGTCTGACTCCAGGAAGTTTCAGTAGAAGCTGTAGAATTTATAGTTCCAAGATATCACTGTTCATGACGTCTGCGATCCGCAGAGGTGAAGCTTGAGTGAAACGCAATAGTACCATAAATCATGATGCTTGAACTAAAACCACTATGACATTCTAAAGCTTTCTAGATGCCGTCCCACACTTGAGCGATGAAAAAAGATCCGACTGTCATGGGTTTATAGATTTCATGAAGACTGGTTGAAAAAATTATTTGTGATGATCCAGCATTTCAATGCCTTCCCGCTTTGCACCACTGAAAAAAAATCTGATGTCTATTGTAGAAGATCAAAGGAAGCCGCAGTTGTAGATATCAATCTATGAATATCCACTGTAGTAATTGTGTACAAAAATATTGATAAACATCACTTGATGTGTCAGTGTCCTCCATGGCTGAGATAACGTTGGTGGTGATTCATCACGATACATCATCGCCGTGAGTACGAAGTGCTTGTCCTCTCGTCCTGATGTAACTCTAGAAAATTCGTATCCGTTCCGTCGATATATCGACACATTTCCACTGATTCGACACTGATCGTTTATTACCTCTAAAGTATGCATAACTGTACTATTTCTTCCAATACAAAAAGTAGCAGGAACAAACACATTTTCTCGATACAATAGGCAAAAGTGGTAAAATTTCTAAACACTAGTACTTTGCCAGGGGTTCCAGTTAGCGGCGAACAGGCTGGTTATATGAGAGTTTTCGTGGTTTTCCCTATGTGTAACGTGAATACCAGCCACTTTCACTTAATAGGTCCTTCCCGAAGACATCCATCTCTTCCCTTAAGCCAATAGCCGAGTGCTTTTTTATAATATAAATAATCCTAATCCTCTTTGTCCAATAATTTGTCCTCTTTCGATGTCTGCCAACTGTTAACGATTCTGAACATAAAATATTTTCTTATCTAATAGTTGAACTAGATACAGCTATGCATCTGAGCTGTGTTCTTGTCATATTTATTCGTGAGTTGAAAAAGTTTCTTTTATTATTAGGTTACTTAATACATTTTGTTATAATAAGGCAGACCGCATCCATATTTAGATTTCTTCTAAATTTAAAAGCTCGTAAATTGAGTTTAAATTTTGCTTCGTTGCGAGTAAGTTAAAATTCCGCTTTTCAGTTTACAGTAATAAGCCAGTTCAATCAGATTTCTATGGAATGTTTACAAAACAATATTGCTATCTGCTTCCATCTTACTCTATGTTTTGAAGAAATCAGTTTGGTATATTTTGAAAAACTGTTTTTCTGGCCTTAACAACGTTTTGATTGCTGACTTTACTAGTGCTTTTTTTTAGGCCATGTTAAGCCCAGCACTGAAAGCTCAGATGAAAAGTTTCAACACTATGTACTCTTGAATACTTCGTATGGACAAAATGTAGTAAAATACTGCGAAAGAAGCAAATGGAATCTTGCTTTTAATTTGCAAAGAGGATGCGAAATATAATTCTTTCAGCTCTTGCTCTTCCTTTCTAAAGCATTCATTAGATTAATAAGAGCACAGTATCCTTTTTCATCTGGAAAAATCCACTGAAGCATCATTACTTTATCACCAGTATTGTATTAATTTAACGTTATATTTAGCACCAGTAAAGATTGCAAAAGGCTATACTTTGCATTTATAACAATAATTTGGATTTTAAACATTATAAAACACTTCATAACAAGTTAGAATATCAATGAACAAAAAGGAAAAAGACGAAGACTGGGAATGAAGAGCTTACGGTTACAAACGTAAAATTTTCATCATCACTTCTTTTTTCTTTCCTGTTGATTTATCAGTCAACAAACTGACAAATGAGGAAGCTCTGAAGGTTTTTTTTTTTTCTTTTTTTTTCTTCGGATTAATTATTTCAAAAGGCGCTTAATATGACAGTCTATGAGAAACAAATGAAGTTTTCAATGTCCACTGAATACAACAGTCTGCATACTATCTCAACAAAGTAAAACAAAAAAAAAGAGAGAAAGTAGATACGCAAATTCTTTACTCTCCCCTTCCGGAAGTTGGAAATTAAAATTAAATTTTAAATCATTTGAAATACATAAAAGTACCTTTAATCTAAAACAGTAACGACATTTTAAAAGAGTTTATATTTGAAGCTAATAGACTGTTACAATCGAATATGTCTTTTGATATTATCAAGCTGATATGGCATAAATTTATATCATAGAAGATTCCTAAAATATGCATAGCAAATGCAATTCTTAATATGAAGCATGCTGCAGAATGAAACTTTTCGCAACACTGCTTGAAACAACATTTAGGAATTATTCCTTCTTAATAAAAATAAACGTTTGCAAAGTACAGAACGCATGAATATTTTACTTAGCTTCTCAACTCTGAAATCTTTGTTTTACCATACAGTGAACAACAAAGCGCATGTTATTTCAAATCCCCTAGCTACATATTACTGCAATCTAAATGTGAAGCATGACACAGCAAATAATAAGTCATTACTTTTATCTAAATCTACCATAGTATAATACATATTTAGTAAATTAAGGATTATTTATTTATTTCATAGCAGAATATTCGCAGCTATAAAACGTGTGATAGTATTATATAAACAGCATTTAGAAAAATGTCCTTTTTAAAAATTAAAATGTGAAATTTATTGTTTTATCAAAATCGTGATTCGCATTAACAGTCGACGAGGAGCTGATAAATATTTTGAAATTAAGAAGAACCCTGTTTTGTAATAAAATTAAATTTAGAACCTAATATATTATTTCTGTGTTGAAGATTCATAAGTATTCCTTGTTACATTGAATGAAATTAACTGAGAAGGTTTCGTGGTTATTGTAGGTAAGGGAACGGGTAAACTGTGGGAATTCATCCGAGACTTACTGCTGAACCCTGCTACCAACCCAAGCATGATTCGTTGGGAAAGAAGAGAAGATGGAATTTTCAAATTTGTTCAATCAGATAAAGTTGCTCGCCTTTGGGGAGATCGTAAACAGAATCCAAGAATGACTTATGAAAAGCTCAGCAGGGCAATGAGGTAAGTAGCCAATATATTTAATTTAGATATCTCGTGCAGTTCTAGCAGTCAAATAAAAAAGTAAGTTGCAGCTTCAAAAATAATAAATGTTATTCAAATTTAGACATTTTACAAGTTTATAAAGAAAAAATATGCTAAGACTAAACTGAGGTAAATTTAATCATTTGTTTCATGAAATATTTTTATTCTCTCGGTACATGTTTTTATAATACTCTAAGAGCACCCAAAAAGTAAGTCCAAATGTAGTAGTTTTCAAAACAGAGCAGATCTTCGTAAGCTGCTGTAAAATATAGGTCTAAGTAAATAAATGTAACATAAAACTATTGACATAATGCAGTTTATGATTTTTTGAAAGCTTAATGTATGTATACTGATATTAGGGAGAGATAATAATTTTACTTTGCATTTTATAACATGAGCTTTTTTTCTTTTATAGATAATATCTTTGCAAGTTTTCAGGAAGGCATTCTCAGGTTTGGTGACGGATCAAATTTCTTTTCATGAATTAAATGCTGCATGCTTGCATGATTTTTGCTTGCTGATCTTGAAATTCTAGATACATGTAATCGGAAATTTCAGCTTATGAAGTAATATTATCGAAACTTCTTTTAAAATATCGTACATCCAAAAGGCAGATTTTTATTAGGAAGTCCCTTGAGTATAAAAATTTACCTTAGATATGTAATTTGCAAAATTTCGTATTCCTCCTGCGAATATTCCAGGTATATTCGTAATAGGAAAAGCTCTTTAATCTAACTTTAGACGTAGCAATAAGTCAGAAAACTCTTTTTCCCGTATATCCTTTTTAATAAGAAATTTTAATACACAGTTTGCTATAAATAAAACCGACATTGCCTTCTTTAGAAATCGGGTATCCTGTAATGTTTATCACGTCATATCCATTTTAAAATAAGTAGTCAAGTTGTCATTGCCATAAATCAACAAGTTTAGAAAAGGTTTCCATTGTCGCGACAATGAAACCCAATTCTAAGCTAAATATTTCAAACGATATTAAAACAAAAGAGTTATTAAAACAAAACACTAGCGAAATGTTAACTGAACGATTGAAAAGGAAACGGTTTGATTCAGAAAATTAAGTCGTACCTTTAGGTTCTTCATTAAAGACTCATATTAACCATTTACTATGATATTCATATATTTATATATCTTCTGTGGGTTTTTTTTTTTTTTTGACATCTTGCGTTGCTACTTATGTAATGTTTTCCACATATATTTCTAGAGAGTCCAAATGAACAGCAGAGGTCCCCCTTTAAACTTTCCCTTTTCAAAATATAAGATCACACAACAAAATATTTTAACCAAATTTCAGTTCAAATAATTATAAGCTCTTCATCTTCAATTTTTGTTTTCATTTTATTGGTTACAGACGCCTCATTATAAAGGTGCCAGCATCCTAATGCAGATTGGCCGGTGTTTGAAAAGACATAAGCTTCATAAGGATGCTCCTGCTTAAATGTGTGCGCTGTCTTACAAAGATAGTTTCTAGTTTCAAGAAAGCAACCTTCATAAGGATGTGGTCACCTTTATTCCGAGGCAACGTTATGATTTTTGTTTGCATTTTTGATTAATTACAGAAGCAGGGAAGAAGATAAATCTTAACTCCATTTTTGAACAACGGGGACTGTAGTGCCCGCACCTTCGTGAAATACTCTGAATTGTCATAAAACTGTTCGAAACGTTTACGAAAAGTGTTGGATTAGCATAAGAATAACGACGTGCGATAACTTTCCGTATCTTTCAGTAACGAGGCAAGAGAAAAAAACGCTTCTAATTTTCTGTTTATAACAATCAGATTTAATATAGATATTCAGTGCATGAATTATGGAACGTACTTCATGACTCATCAAGATCCCTAGAAAATGTGTTTCCCGATAACCGCATATTTGGAGTACAGGAAAATGTTTAGCAGTTTATAACGTTTGTTGAGCTAAATCAAAGCCACTTAGATATAAAAATTAATCTAGAAACTGTGTTTAATAGAAGAATTTCCTGAAGAGCAAGAATTTAAAGATTTAAACAAATTTCATAAACAGTTAAAATAGAAGATATGAAAAAACGTAGCTTCAATGTTGTCATGGAAATATCCCAATATGTACTGCGGAATCTTAGTAAATTGTGAGATTCTTCTGGTATCCTTAGGTATTTTAAGGTCGAAGAGCTTGTTATTAAAGGACAATTGCAATATTTATTTAGGGAACTTATCGCAAAACTCTTCTTTTTCATAAAACTGTCAGTAATTCAATACAGTCTAGTTTAGAACACAATTTTTCACAACTCACTGTAGGCTAGAAACCGGAAGAAAATGAAGGACTTTTCAACAGAGTAATACACATGATTCTTTTATTGCTGTGGTTTAGATTATTTTTACTTTTTCTGTTATTATATTGT